GAAGAAGGCAAAATGATGATAATGATGATGATACATCGACACGGAACTTCTAATTGTGTCGGTCACACAGCCATCCTTGATCCTTTTTTCGCCCCCCCCCCCCGCAGTTACCCCTGATGACAACTCCACATGAATCAACTTTCCTTGTGGAGGGAAAGATCACTAAAGAATACTGATACTTTCCAGTGGTTTATCTGTTCACAAATGTGCAAGGAATGCAGAGGCAGAGCAACTTCCACATTCTTAGTAAACAGCATATCCATTATCCTGCATCACTTCCTAGGGTAACAGAGCATGTGCTAGATGGATCTCTCTGGGAAGGATATTCTTCAACTGGGGGACTATTACGAAGAACTCCTGTTCTCAAGGAGCCATCTGCCAGGTCTGCAGGGCCAGCATACATGAGAAGTAATGTTTCTTCTGGTAGTATGGCCAAAGGCTTTCAAGGTTATTGCCAGTACCTTGGACTGGGTCCAAAAATGAACTATGAGCCTGTGAAGGTGATGTAATATTAGTTTAATATAGTCATAAAAGCCCAGTTCCAGTTCCAGTCAGTACCCAAGTTTCTATAAATTGCATCAAATTGAAATTTCCAGATTCTTTTCATTATGACTATCCATAATGCATTGCAGTGATCTATACAAGAGGTTACAGGACACAGATTAATGAAACTAAGCTATCTCCACTTAGCTAAAGTCATAGTTGACAAATCAGCCTAAATTTAAAAAGCTATTCCATGCCATCGAGGACACCTGTGCTTGCTCAGAAATAGTGGCTTTTGGGGATGAACTTGAAAGTAGATTAGATGACTTATAACCAAACCAAACCCATTTTGCTTTTAGATTAACAGGGATTCCAAATGAAGAAAGCATTTGTGGAATGACACCACACATATCAGCAGCATGTGCAATTCCACAGCCCTGCCATTCGAAGAAAGCCGCCAGCTTCTGATTGTAGTATACAGCTTCATCTTTGCCTTGGGCCTACCAGCCAACTGCTTAACTTTTTTTGTGACACTTGTACAAATTTGCAGGAAAAATATCACAGCCATTTACCTGTTTGGTCTGTCCCTGTGCAACCTTATGTATCTGAGTACCCTTCCTCTCTGGATCATCTATGTGCAAAACAGCCACCGTTGGACAATGGGGCGGATACCATGCCTGGTGACTGGATATATCTTTTTCTGCAACATCTACATCAGCATTCTTCTCCTGTGCTGCATCTCTATCGATCACTACAAGGCTGTGGTACGCGCACTGGAAAGCAGAGGGAAATGTTTTCGGTCCCAGAGGACTGCTGCCATGGTCACAGTTGCCTTCTTTGGCATCATTGCTGTGATCTATAGCCCTGTGTTTTTCAGCAAAAATATCCAGGATGAAAACATAGCAACTTGCTTTGAAACTCCACTCAACTCCAATTTGGCTGGGTACAACATCAGCCGGTTCATCCTGGGATTTCTCATTCCTTTGGGGCTCCTTCTTTTCACATACTGGAGAATTTTTCAAAGTACTAGGACCAGCAGCAGCCTCAGTCCAGACCAGAAAGCTAAAGTGAGAAACCTGGCAATTGCCATCATTTCTGTATTTGTAGTGTGCTTTGCTCCCTACCATTTTGTGTTGCTTGTGAGAGCCATTGTTTTCCTTTGTAACCGAAGTGAGGTATGCCTATTTGAGAAAAAGATATATACTACTTCTGTGATCTTCCTGTGCTTTTCCACTGCCAACAGCATTGCAGACCCATTTATCTATGTGCTGGCTAGTGAAAACGTCAGGCGTGAGATATATCGCACCTTTCAGGTGTGTGGAATTCATCGGCCAGATGATTCCCAGTGACATCTGAGACACACAGATTGAGAAATAAAGAAGACAGTATTACCTCCCTTCACTATGGAAAGTTTGGGTGGGTTCTTAAAAAGATCCGGATAGAAGGTGGAGAACATTTTCAGAAGCACAGAAACATTCCCTTTCTCTGATAGCCACCATCTGTTTCAAAGAATTCTGATCTTTGTGCATTGAGTAGAGTGAACAGGCCTTTTAACACAATGAGCTGCTATTCATACATTAATAAGGTCACAATATTGTGATATGCAACTGGGTCCATGCATTGCCTAAGAGATGATGATGCACTGACAAAGGATCCTACAGCATCAGGAAGTTCTACTGGAGGGCTCCCAGTATAGACTGTGGGTCATTTATCAATTCTTTGCTAATGGGGAAAGGACTAAAATGAAAACATGCACAAGCCATAGACAAATGCACAATCAATAGGCAATGCTACCTCTCTGGGATATCTTCTAGGGCAGTGTTTCTCAACCTTGTCAACTTTAAGATGTGTGGACTTCAGCTCCCAGAATTTCCCAGCCAGCATCAAGAAGGTTGAGAAACAATGTTCTAGGGTATGGGGGTTTTTTACTGTTGTCCAAATGGTCAGGCTGCCTTTGAATAAGATAAGTTATTCTTGAATAAATTACCCAAGTCTTTATTGTATTCCTTTACTGTTCAGACAAGCACAATGTTGAATATATGCAGTCCAGATATCTATGGCATTTGATAGCACCAACCATATATGCTCAAATAAAGGAAATATATATTTGTATCAAAAGTTGATTTTCTGACTTCTGAAAATATCTAGGGGAATCATAGAACCATAGAGTTGGAAGGGGCCATAGAGATAATCTAGCTCAACTCCCTGCTTGGTGCAGGATCCACTAGAACATCTCTGATCATTGATCATCCAGCCTCCATCTGAAGATCTCCTAATGAAAAAAACCTCATCACTTGATACAGCAGCCTGTTCCACTTGCTGACCATGCAAATGGTCTGGAAGTTCTTCCTGATGTCTAACCTGCCTGAATGCTTCCTTGTACTTAAAACCCACTGGTTCTGATCCTGCCTTCTAGGCCAATAGGGAATAGGTCCATTTCTTCTGTATGACTACTGTTCACATATTTGAAGACTACTAACATACTTCACCTTAGCCATCTTTTCTGTAAGCTTAAACATTCTCAGAACATTTAATCATTCTTCATAGATCTTGATTGCCCAAACCCTTCATCATTGTGGTAACCCTCCTGAACTTGCTCCAATTTTTCACTACCCATTTTGAACTATGGTGCCCCCAAATGGACCCAGTACTCCAAATGGGGTCTGACCAGGGCAGACCAGAGTGAAACAATGATTGTACTTTCCACAGTCTGGACTTTATGCCCCTGTTAATGCACCCTAAGATAGCATTTGCCTTTTTAGTAGCTGCATCACACTTCTGGCTCATGTTTACTGATGGTCTACAAGGAAATCTAGATCCTTTTCATATATATTACTGCTAAGATGCATATTATATGTGCTTTACATTGTTCTTACCCAGATATAGAACTTTATGTTCCTTCCTGTTACACTCCACCTTATTCATTTCAGCCTGCTGCTCAAGGTTGTCTAGACCTTGTTGAGCTTTCTCTCTTTCATCTAAAATATTAGCCACCCCTCCCAGCTTTATATCATCTGCAAGACATACAAGTGGCCCTTCAACCCCTCATCCAAGTCATTGGTAAAAATGCTGAATGGCACAGGGCCCAGAGCTCTGTGGAATTCCGCTCAATTCTTCCCCTCAAGCTGAATGGAAACATTAACAAGCACTCTTTTGGTGCGGTCATTCACCAGCTGTGAGTCCATCTAACAGTGGTCTTATCTAGCCCCTATTTTACCATTTTATTAAGGGGACTATAATGAGGCACTCTGTCAATGGTTTTGTTGAGATCCCAATATACTATGTCTTCGGTGCTTCCTTAAATTTCTAAATGAATAACTCTATCAAAGGAGGAGATAAAGCTAATTTGGCATAATCTGGTCTCTGTTATTTGTAGCATGCTGCTTCAAGTGTTCATAAAGATTACCAAGAGTGGTTCCGTGATCACCTCTGTTAGTTCCTTCAATACACTGGGTTGTAATCCAGCTGGCCCTGGAAACCTGAATTCATTGAAATTAATTACATTCTCTTACCCTCTCCTTATCTACCCCAAGCTGCAGTGCTCCACATGTGAAAAACAGGCACAAATTTATGAATCAGCCTTGTGTAATACAGCACCCTTCCCAACATATGCAAATGAGTGCCAAGTTGGAAGAAGTTGGGCCTGGATCCTATATTCCATATGTTCTGTTAACAAGATATATTGTGAAAAAAAGTACAGATGTGTTTTTCACCAAGCTCCCTTCAATGTATAGTTCTTTGTGCTCCTGCAAAATCTGTTCTAGAGGCATTAAGAGCTGCAGGAAGAATCACGCAAAATGCTTCTCTCATTCTACCAGCCTCTCTGGTGACTCAAGACTGAATCACAAATAATACAGTAATTATACTCTTACCTTGCCCATGCTTCAAAGATTGCAAAATGGAATATCACAAATTCAGCTAGAATAGTCACTGGCCTCGTTTCACCCAAAGAGTGTCATGGCATTTGGACCCAAATCTTTCTTCTCTAATACTGTACTACATAATCATCATATAAAATTCTGCTTTGGAATTAATTCATGAATCTCAAGTAGCCAAGGTATAAATGGCAATTGTGACCTACTGCTCTCTCAAACCTAGCATGATACCGTTACTTTGAATTTTCTTCCACACAGAAAATTTCCATTACTACTAATTGCTTTGTTGGTAGATTATGTATGTCCCCTTCAAAAGATTATTCCAGCTGCCCAGGTGCTAATTCTGGACTAAAATATTGGTTCATATGCTAAAAGAGAAAATTGACTTTTTACAAGTTGTTTCATTTGCAATGCATAGATGTGGCCGCCAGATGGCGCCCAAAGCTATCTTATTTCTCTAATAATCCCTATCATTTCTAGAAAGAAAATTAGCGTGTATCTTTCTGTTGTCTGTCTGTCTGTCTGTCTATCTAATTCTATTTCTAACTCACCAGAAACAACTCTTGGTGGCAATATAAACAATATAAAACAAAAATTAAAACATCCATAGTTATATTAAAACCAGTTCATAATCATCTTCATAATAGCTGCATCAAACCCCACATAAAACATTTTAATTAACTATTCACTTTATTAATTGGGCAAAATAATATGTTGACTTGGTAATAATGACAGTATTTATAAGAGAGTTACCTCAGTACAGAATGCACTCAGCTGGCGAAAGCTGCCTTAGACAATGTTTAGGAGAGGCTTACGTTCTATCTGCAAAGAGACATAGATCACTCATGAATTTTGCTAATAAACAGTGGTTGGGGGAGTTACAAATAATATGGGGGAAATCCTGTCTTTTATTCTTTGTAGCAGGTCAGTGCAGGTGGCAGCACTCAGCTGACCTTGGTCGATCTTAAAAAGTTAAACAAGGTCAAAATGGGTAGAGGATCAAGAAATAGTAGGACGTAACCTAGATTAGAAATTTTTAAAAAAAAATCTTAAAATCCACACAATCCTCAGAGTTTTCAAAAAAACTCTGAGGATTGTGCAGAAATGAAAATTATTCAGAAGTACTTTGGATGTAGCAGGAGCCCAAACACAGCTCCCCTCTGCTACTCAATAAACGAGCCACATCTTTTTTCAGTTTTCCATGCAAACTTGAAAAAAGATGCTGCTGCTTTAATTAATCAAATCACTAAAGCGGCGTATCTTTTTTTTATAAGAACTTTATTATATTATACTGCAAAGTACAATTAAAATACAAAACAAAGTGCAGCAAAGAAAGAAGATAGAACTAAAAGAAAAAAGATAAAACTAAAAGTGAGGATAGAAAATTGAAACAGAAAGTGACTTCTGACTATCTCCAATACATATATAAATACAAATTTTAAAAAGTTAATCTCTTACCACTAATTAATCCAAATTTACATTATTTCCATCAACACAAACCATCTAATCATTAAAGCCCACAATCAAAACCTCATTTTTTTCCCACACAAGCACATAATCTAAGAAGGGTTGCCATGAGGAGACAAATTTAGAAACAGTATTATCTCTTATTAACGCTGTTAACTTTGCCATCTGAGCCAAATTCATTAATTTTATGATCCATTCTTCCACTGTAGGTATTTGTGGATCCTTCCATCTTTGCGCATGTAACAGTCTTGCAGCTGTGATCATATACAAAAGCAAAGTTATTTCCATCAACACAAACCATCTAATCATTAAAGCCCACAATCAAAACCTCATTTTTTTCCCACACAAGCACATAATCTAAGAAGGGTTGCCATGAGGAGACAAATTTAGAAACAGTATTATCTCTTATTAACGCTGTTAACTTTGCCATCTGAGCCAAATTCATTAATTTTATGATCCATTCTTCCACTGTAGGTATTTGTGGATCCTTCCATCTTTGCGCATGTAACAGTCTTGCAGCTGTGATCATATACAAAAGCAAAGTTCCATGTTGTTTCTCCAGTCCTTTCTCCATCAAGCCCAACAGAAACAGTTCTGTGTTTTTTTTTTTTTTGAATGCTCACTTTAAGAACCTTTTGAATAGCAATACATATTTGATCCCAGAATTTTTTAGCCTTTTCACAGGTCCACCAAAGATGATAAAAGGTTCCTTCACCCTGCAAAC